ACTGAACCTTGTCCACACATTTGTAACGAGCGGCCACCATTCACTATCGAATTCATTCATTGATACTTCAAATGGTTCACCAACATTGAAGAGAAGCGCTCGCCTTTGATTAGGAGTTGTAGATTGCAACGTGTAAACTTTGATCCCTTTATATGCTGTGGGTGCTTCATCTGCTACAGATATTGCTTGTACCTCTTTATTTTCTTCTTCACTATCATCCAACACAATCACATCATTTTCCTCCAACACAGTCTTTTCGTTTCCCACTAAAACTTCATCTTCGTCAACTTCAATTTCCTCAAACACATTGCCTTCTCTTTCAACAAAGTTACCAGCCATATTAAAACAAAAAAAAAAACAAAATAAAAAAAAAAAAAAAAAAAAAAAAAAAAAAACTATATTATATAAAAAAAAAAAGAAGCCGCGAAATAATAATTCGCTTGCAATCTAACTACAGAACTACAATACAATGAATGTGCTCTGCTCACTAAACAATAATAACACGGCAGTAGTATTTTTGAAAGTGCTTTCAACAATATATTATGATTCAGTAATAATATGTAGTAAAAATAACTTTTTATTGTTTGTACGTAACTGACACAACTGCAAAGAATGAGTATTTGGGAGGAAAAAAAAAAAAGATTAAAAAAAAAAAAAAGGAGAGAAGAGATTCCTTTAAAAAAAAAAAAGGAGAGAAGAGATTCCTTTAAAAAAAAAAAAAGGAGAAGAGATTCCTTTAAAAAAAAAAAAGGAGAAGAGATTCCTTTAAAAAAAAAAAAAGAGATTCCTTTAAAAAAAAGAAAAAAAATTGCTATAGATTCTACTAAATACTGAAAAAAAAATCAGGATCACCATATCTCCCATGATTTCCTGTATCACGGGGAGGTGTTAGGCTTTAAACGACTCCTGAAAAAGGCGTGAAAATAGACGTTCAATTGTCAGTGAACTAATAGAAAGAACCCGAAATGCATACTGGAAAAATAGAGGATGAAGGAGCCCAGAAGAAAAATCAAAATTTATTAAAAATTTAAATAATTCTTAAGATTTATTTTTTGTAAATGCGTAAACTTATTTTATTGAAATACATAATTAACATAGAGTAAAACCCTATATCGGGTGTTTCAAAAGTTCTACTACTGGTCCAATAACGTAATCTCATAAAAAAATTAGGAAACTTTTGAAACACGCGGTATGTTAGGGTAAGAGTAAGTAGGTATTATGGCATTATAGTTGTTTTAATGTAATGCAAATTTTAATTCGACTCAACATTGTTCATTCCAACACGAAATTATACATCATAGCTATATCTTTATGTTATAAAATATAAGTCGCAGTAATTAAGCAAAAAAAAGAAAAAATGGCCCAGTTTCCAAATCTTAATGCAATTCTATATTTCACCTAAGCTAGATACAAAAAATATTAGCACATGCTAAAAAGAATTAAAATGAAACAAACCAAAAAAAAAAATTTAATACAGTCAACTCTTTCTATAACGAACTGAAGATTCTGGAAGAAAAAAAGTTCATTATAGGGAAATTACTATGTTTTCTTAAGAACCCATGTCACTTTTTATACCGAACTATTATGAAATTTCAAAATTTTTGCGTTCAGAGTTCGTTATAGAAAGGTTCGTTATATTTATAGTCGATTGTACTTATCTCTGGTTCTGTTCTCAGTTTCAAACGAAGATTTCCATTAACCAACGTGAATTAATACCCACCAAAGTCCAGAACCCCATTGCCAGTTTTTTTTACATGCTAATAAGGTCAAAGCCTACAAGAAAAAAAATTATTATCTGCATAGAAAAATAGTAATGAATAGAAAAAAAAAAGGAATTAGTACTTAACTTCAGCCGTAGTTCTTATTTTCCACCAAAGTTCAAAACCCCATCACTGGTCCATTTTCGCATTCTAATGAAGCCAAAATCTACAAAAAAAAAGATATTAATATCTGCCAAGGAAAGATAGAAATAAATAAATAAAAGAAGAATTAAATAAATAAAAGAATTAATACATATCTTCGGCCATAGTTCTTATTTTCTGCTAAAGTTTAGAACTCCATTGCCGGTCTACATTCGCATTCTAAAAAGAACAAAGCTTACAAAAAACAAGGAAATATTAGTATCTGCTAAAAGAAATAAATAAATGAATAAAAAAAAAAAAAAAAAAAAAAATAGAAACAAAAAATACTTATCAATTTAGTTCTTGCCGAAGTCCAAATCTTAGATCTAAGAGGAAGATAAATATTAACCTCAAAACCGCGAAAGTGTACTTGAAATCTATATCCCGGCAAACTTATATCAGAATATCAGAGAAAAAAAAAAAGTCCAGTGAGAAAATCAGTAAGAAAAAAATAAAAAAGCATCGCGTTTAGTGATCAAAGTAATAGAAGGAACCATGAACATTAATGTTACGCAACTACATAGGCAGTAAAGTAATCCACAACATAAATAATTGTATTAGATGTGTAACATCGACGGTTCCTCAAAGTAGATTCTACGTCATTTTTTCAAAGGGCCGAGATAATCCGTGTTCTGTGATTTCCCGTACTTCGGGTGATTTCGTGAGGTGCCAGGCTTTAAACGACCCCTAAAACAGGTAATTACCCAATTAGATTTGTGTTTACTATGTAATCTGTTATACAAAAAAAATTGCTATGTATATCATATGATAAATGATCTATATATACTCTACCCTTAATTTATCTAATCTCATTCTAGATGATTCAACAGTCTTGTTATCTTCATTCATATAATTTTCTTGATAGTTGTCTAAATAATCTAATAATTAAAATATTTTAAATAAAAATGATTACTATAGAATATAGCCAAAGAAGCATACCGATATTATCATTACTATCATCACTATTAGACATTTGAAGCAGATCTAAGACTATAATTTACTTTGTTGTTAGTAGCTACTTTCATTCTGACTATTGTTAGATAATTCAATTGTTGAAACATTGTTATGTTCAAAATCAACAATACTTTTATTAACTAGTATAGATGATATTATAATATTTATTGAAAAATATGGTTAGAAATAAATTAACAAAATATTATACAACTTTTCAATTATAAATAATACTAACTTTTAGTTTTGGTTGTTGTCGATAAATTGTGACTTGAGCTTGCAATTTTAGATGCTATTGGCACTATATTCGATAGATTTAAACCATTATGAATAGTAAACTTATCAATAACTTTAAATTAGCATACTTTTTTTTACTAGTATTTGGATCAATTTCTTTTTTATAGTCTAAATCTGAGTCATTAGATTTATTATTTGAAGCAGAAGGTTCGATACTTGTTTTATGCTCTCTTTTATATTGATTTTCTTTGTGATTATCTATTCCATGACTACTACTTCTATGACTACCACTTTTAAACTACCTCTTCTACAACTACCTCTTCTATGACTACCTCTTCTACAAATTTCTACACTTTCTATTTCATTTCCTCTTTTATGACCTCCTAAATAAGAGTAATTATAAACATAATTATTATTCAGTATAATAAACTTTGACAAGGTCATAAATATAAAACCAACATCTACTTGAAGCTTTTTTTTTGGTTTGTTTCTTCAAATTCTTCAACTATCAGTCTTTTTGTTTTTGTTATTTTATCTTAAAATGTTTATAAAAAAAAAAATACAAAAACAATCAATAAAAGCTAAAGCTTTACTTTATGTATCTTAAAACACTTCATCATTATAGCATAGATAAGAATTTTTACTACTTTTAATGCATATTAACTATCTTAATAAGTTGTGCTTTTTCTTTTTCTTAAGCCTTATTCTTTCATTATCAGGAGAGAGAAGCAATGAGAGAGAATTAATTAATTTACTACACTCTATATTATATACTATTAATACATAATTAATCACTTCAACAATTACTAAATTTTGATCAATACAAATAAAGAAACTCTATTATATACAAAACTCTTGCATAATAATGATAAGTATTAAATCAAGTTTATTGGTCACATGATTACACTAATTTCTGCCTTGACAACTCTCTTAATAAGGCATCTCGAACCAGACTTGTATTTTAATATATACATTCTTTTTTTTGACTTTATTATTTCTAAGTTTCAATATTATACTAATATTGCAAAAAATTAATAACTAAAAAATATTTTAATCTGAAACAAATAAAACTAGTTAAATAAATAATAGCTAAAATTCTAAATTTAAAGAAAATAAAGATATTTAAAAGCAATTTTTAGCTTATATATATATTTTATCTTTTATCATCAATGTAATATTAATACAAAAGCTATATCTGAAATGCAATATTACTGCATTATCATAATGCTGCAAAATTTATATCACAATACTATCAAGTTTAATACCAAAAACTTTGATTTTAAATTTTGAATACATGAGATTTTATTTTAAATAAAAACTACAATATAGAATATTAAGGCTTGTTTTTAATATATCCTTAGTTAGGTTGGGTCCCATAGCTTAGGATTAAGCTCCCAACCCTCTACAAACTAGGTCAACAGTTTGAGTCAGGCTGAAGGCAAATTTTAATAAAATTTGCTTCTGTAACCTACGGGGCCATAAAATCGAATGCGAAGCCCTGTAGAAGTCCAAGTGCAGTATGAAACCAGAATAAGAAGTTCTCAGAAGAAGACCAGGTTATAGAGTGTAGGCATTACGTGTGACAGCAGCATCACAGAAGGTTTGGTTATACAGAAGATCGCGCGAATTAGTCCTCTGGTTGGGGTGACCTAGAGGCAGTACCAACATCTCTGTATTCAACTTGTGAGGTACTTGCTTGGAAGGATGATACGACGGTAGCCAAAACTGGAGTAGTGAGTGAAGCGGTGATACATGACTATGGGCTGTGATAAAGGATTATACATTAACTGGAATTGGAAGCACCTCTGGTCCTGCGGAACAACTTACTATGAAAGGTTACTCAACGTAGAGCGCGTACCTATCTCTGTACGATTAAATGTACCAAATCGGAGCTCTGGTCACACCTATATGAAGTCTATAATGAAAAGCGTTAAGGATTTACTAGTATGAATGCTACACCAACCAGGGTTAAGATACCCCAAGTTGGAAGTTGTACAATATATACAACAAAAGCCAATAGCTGGAAGTATATCGGTTACCATATATGAAACAAGTTCCTAATGAATACCATAAAAGAGAGTACAAAGGGGATAGAAAAGTACGCAAGCACATGAGAGACCAAAAAAGGGATGATAAAAGACCTGTGAATGGCAAACCGGCAGTGGCAGCAGGTCCCTGGCTTGAGATACAGGTTAGTAGTACCTGGGCAAATGAGTGGGAAAATTAGGCATTCATAGAAATGAAGGAATGTAAACTGGTATAACTCAGTTAGCGCAAACTCAAGATAAGTCCTAATCCGTCAGGTAGTACCAACTTTGTTATGTGGTGAACCTAACTAGGCAGCAGAGACCTGGCTTGAGATACGTGCACGAGAGGCTCTCGGTAGGCACACCAATCTGTGAGGCCTTTAGGGACCGATTACCTGAATGAACCAAATTGGAAGTCACTGAGGTTTAATTGTGGGTCATGGGGGGAATATGGTTGTGTAACTAGAATTAGTTAGTTGTGAAGCACAAAAATCAGATAATACGGAGATGGGATACAGAATACTCTAGTAGGTTTAGGTCACAGATAAAGTAGTCTGAGCCCGTATTCAATAATTAGTTTGGTTAGTAGGTGCATGAGTGAGCAACAAGGTTGTATAGTAGTGTACAAACTTAAGAATTAATAAAAGATACAAGAGGCATGACCTCACCTTAACACTGAAAAAAAAATATATATATATCCTTGGTTAATTTCTAATTCCAAAGTATAACGGTGGTTATTAATCGCTTTATTTAAAGTAGTTTCGCTTTCCACAAAAGGGTGAGTATAGTATCACCTAGAGGTTTTGCATTTAAATTAAGCTGTATAAATATAAACTAACTAATAATGCATGAATTAATAAATTTTGTCAAAAAATTTTGCATACTGTGAACAGGTAAAACAGGTTTGTTGCTAAACATTCAGGAACGAAAATATTTATTATATTATTATATTATAAATTGATTATATATTATTGCAGAAAAATAAACTAACTAAAAATGGTATAGTTTAATGATAATTGATTATACTTTAACTATTAATATTAAGGACCTGATTAGATGCATACATACAACTTCTCTAAAATAGAATGAATGCAATAATCACTAATAGGGTTTTGATTATATGAAAAACAATCAGTAATAAAATTACATAACAGTTAGTAAAATATTAGAGATTATAATGATATAAAAATATAATCTTTAATATACTTAACAGTGCCAAAGATCATAATAAAGAAACAGTTAATAAATAAAGTTGTTATATAGTTGAAAGAGAAACAGTAAAGTAAAGAAAGAAAATATACTTTCAGGATTTCTGTTGAATTCTTATTACAATTTCAATTTAGGTAAGCTATTCTTTTTTTATCTTGTGTTTCCTTTATTATTCATTTTCTAATCAGACTTCCTTTCTTTTCTGCATCTGGTTTTAAGTTTTACTTCATTGTTCAAATTATTAGAGGTGAATCTACTTGGATCTCTACTAGAGATGTTATGATTTGACAAGTATATTTTCTTTCTTTACTTTACTGTTTCTCTTTCAACTATATAACAACTTTATTTATTAACTGTTTCTTTATTATGATCTTTGGCACTGTTAAGTATATTAAAGATTATATTTTTATATCATTATAATCTCTAATATTTTACTAACTGTTATGTAATTTTATTACTGATTGTTTTTCATATAATCAAAACCCTATTAGTGATTATTGCATTCATTCTATTTTAGAGAAGTTGTATGTATGCATCTAATCAGGTCCTTAATATTAATAGTTAAAGTATAATCAATTATCATTAAACTATACCATTTTTAGTTAGTTTATTTTTCTGCAATAATATATAATCAATTTATAATATAATAATATAATAAATATTTTCGTTCCTGAATGTTTAGCAACAAACCTGTTTTACCTGTTCACAGTATGCAAAATTTTTTGACAAAATTTATTAATTCATGCATTATTAGTTAGTTTATATTTATACAGCTTAATTTAAATGCAAAACCTCTAGGTGATACTATACTCACCCTTTTGTGGAAAGCGAAACTACTTTAAATAAAGCGATTAATAACCACCGTTATACTTTGGAATTAGAAATTAACCAAGGATATATATATATTTTTTTTTCAGTGTTAAGGTGAGGTCATGCCTCTTGTATCTTTTATTAATTCTTAAGTTTGTACACTACTATACAACCTTGTTGCTCACTCATGCACCTACTAACCAAACTAATTATTGAATACGGGCTCAGACTACTTTATCTGTGACCTAAACCTACTAGAGTATTCTGTATCCCATCTCCGTATTATCTGATTTTTGTGCTTCACAACTAACTAATTCTAGTTACACAACCATATTCCCCCCATGACCCACAATTAAACCTCAGTGACTTCCAATTTGGTTCATTCAGGTAATCGGTCCCTAAAGGCCTCACAGATTGGTGTGCCTACCGAGAGCCTCTCGTGCACGTATCTCAAGCCAGGTCTCTGCTGCCTAGTTAGGTTCACCACATAACAAAGTTGGTACTACCTGACGGATTAGGACTTATCTTGAGTTTGCGCTAACTGAGTTATACCAGTTTACATTCCTTCATTTCTATGAATGCCTAATTTTCCCACTCATTTGCCCAGGTACTACTAACCTGTATCTCAAGCCAGGGACCTGCTGCCACTGCCGGTTTGCCATTCACAGGTCTTTTATCATCCCTTTTTTGGTCTCTCATGTGCTTGCGTACTTTTCTATCCCCTTTGTACTCTCTTTTATGGTATTCATTAGGAACTTGTTTCATATATGGTAACCGATATACTTCCAGCTATTGGCTTTTGTTGTATATATTGTACAACTTCCAACTTGGGGTATCTTAACCCTGGTTGGTGTAGCATTCATACTAGTAAATCCTTAACGCTTTTCATTATAGACTTCATATAGGTGTGACCAGAGCTCCGATTTGGTACATTTAATCGTACAGAGATAGGTACGCGCTCTACGTTGAGTAACCTTTCATAGTAAGTTGTTCCGCAGGACCAGAGGTGCTTCCAATTCCAGTTAATGTATAATCCTTTATCACAGCCCATAGTCATGTATCACCGCTTCACTCACTACTCCAGTTTTGGCTACCGTCGTATCATCCTTCCAAGCAAGTACCTCACAAGTTGAATACAGAGATGTTGGTACTGCCTCTAGGTCACCCCAACCAGAGGACTAATTCGCGCGATCTTCTGTATAACCAAACCTTCTGTGATGCTGCTGTCACACGTAATGCCTACACTCTATAACCTGGTCTTCTTCTGAGAACTTCTTATTCTGGTTTCATACTGCACTTGGACTTCTACAGGGCTTCGCATTCGATTTTATGGCCCCGTAGGTTACAGAAGCAAATTTTATTAAAATTTGCCTTCAGCCTGACTCAAACTGTTGACCTAGTTTGTAGAGGGTTGGGAGCTTAATCCTAAGCTATGGGACCCAACCTAACTAAGGATATATTAAAAACAAGCCTTAATATTCTATATTGTAGTTTTTATTTAAAATAAAATCTCATGTATTCAAAATTTAAAATCAAAGTTTTTGGTATTAAACTTGATAGTATTGTGATATAAATTTTGCAGCATTATGATAATGCAGTAATATTGCATTTCAGATATAGCTTTTGTATTAATATTACATTGATGATAAAAGATAAAATATATATATAAGCTAAAAATTGCTTTTAAATATCTTTATTTTCTTTAAATTTAGAATTTTAGCTATTATTTATTTAACTAGTTTTATTTGTTTCAGATTAAAATATTTTTTAGTTATTAATTTTTTGCAATATTAGTATAATATTGAAACTTAGAAATAATAAAGTCAAAAAAAAGAATGTATATATTAAAATACAAGTCTGGTTCGAGATGCCTTATTAAGAGAGTTGTCAAGGCAGAAATTAGTGTAATCATGTGACCAATAAACTTGATTTAATACTTATCATTATTATGCAAGAGTTTTGTATATAATAGAGTTTCTTTATTTGTATTGATCAAAATTTAGTAATTGTTGAAGTGATTAATTATGTATTAATAGTATATAATATAGAGTGTAGTAAATTAATTAATTCTCTCTCATTGCTTCTCTCTCCTGATAATGAAAGAATAAGGCTTAAGAAAAAGAAAAAGCACAACTTATTAAGATAGTTAATATGCATTAAAAGTAGTAAAAATTCTTATCTATGCTATAATGATGAAGTGTTTTAAGATACATAAAGTAAAGCTTTAGCTTTTATTGATTGTTTTTGTATTTTTTTTTTTATAAACATTTTAAGATAAAATAACAAAAACAAAAAGACTGATAGTTGAAGAATTTGAAGAAACAAACCAAAAAAAAAGCTTCAAGTAGATGTTGGTTTTATATTTATGACCTTGTCAAAGTTTATTATACTGAATAATAATTATGTTTATAATTACTCTTATTTAGGAGGTCATAAAAGAGGAAATGAAATAGAAAGTGTAGAAATTTGTAGAAGAGGTAGTCATAGAAGAGGTAGTTGTAGAAGAGGTAGTTTAAAAGTGGTAGTCATAGAAGTAGTAGTCATGGAATAGATAATCACAAAGAAAATCAATATAAAAGAGAGCATAAAACAAGTATCGAACCTTCTGCTTCAAATAATAAATCTAATGACTCAGATTTAGACTATAAAAAAGAAATTGATCCAAATACTAGTAAAAAAAAGTATGCTAATTTAAAGTTATTGATAAGTTTACTATTCATAATGGTTTAAATCTATCGAATATAGTGCCAATAGCATCTAAAATTGCAAGCTCAAGTCACAATTTATCGACAACAACCAAAACTAAAAGTTAGTATTATTTATAATTGAAAAGTTGTATAATATTTTGTTAATTTATTTCTAACCATATTTTTCAATAAATATTATAATATCATCTATACTAGTTAATAAAAGTATTGTTGATTTTGAACATAACAATGTTTCAACAATTGAATTATCTAACAATAGTCAGAATGAAAGTAGCTACTAACAACAAAGTAAATTATAGTCTTAGATCTGCTTCAAATGTCTAATAGTGATGATAGTAATGATAATATCGGTATGCTTCTTTGGCTATATTCTATAGTAATCATTTTTATTTAAAATATTTTAATTATTAGATTATTTAGACAACTATCAAGAAAATTATATGAATGAAGATAACAAGACTGTTGAATCATCTAGAATGAGATTAGATAAATTAAGGGTAGAGTATATATAGATCATTTATCATATGATATACATAGCAATTTTTTTTGTATAACAGATTACATAGTAAACACAAATCTAATTGGGTAATTACCTGTTTTAGGGGTCGTTTAAAGCCTGGCACCTCACGAAATCACCCGAAGTACGGGAAATCACAGAACACGGATTATCTCGGCCCTTTGAAAAAATGACGTAGAATCTACTTTGAGGAACCGTCGATGTTACACATCTAATACAATTATTTATGTTGTGGATTACTTTACTGCCTATGTAGTTGCGTAACATTAATGTTCATGGTTCCTTCTATTACTTTGATCACTAAACGCGATGCTTTTTTATTTTTTTCTTACTGATTTTCTCACTGGACTTTTTTTTTTTCTCTGATATTCTGATATAAGTTTGCCGGGATATAGATTTCAAGTACACTTTCGCGGTTTTGAGGTTAATATTTATCTTCCTCTTAGATCTAAGATTTGGACTTCGGCAAGAACTAAATTGATAAGTATTTTTTGTTTCTATTTTTTTTTTTTTTTTTTTTTTTATTCATTTATTTATTTCTTTTAGCAGATACTAATATTTCCTTGTTTTTTGTAAGCTTTGTTCTTTTTAGAATGCGAATGTAGACCGGCAATGGAGTTCTAAACTTTAGCAGAAAATAAGAACTATGGCCGAAGATATGTATTAATTCTTTTATTTATTTAATTCTTCTTTTATTTATTTATTTCTATCTTTCCTTGGCAGATATTAATATCTTTTTTTTTGTAGATTTTGGCTTCATTAGAATGCGAAAATGGACCAGTGATGGGGTTTTGAACTTTGGTGGAAAATAAGAACTACGGCTGAAGTTAAGTACTAATTCCTTTTTTTTTTCTATTCATTACTATTTTTCTATGCAGATAATAATTTTTTTTCTTGTAGGCTTTGACCTTATTAGCATGTAAAAAAAACTGGCAATGGGGTTCTGGACTTTGGTGGGTATTAATTCACGTTGGTTAATGGAAATCTTCGTTTGAAACTGAGAACAGAACCAGAGATAAGTACAATCGACTATAAATATAACGAACCTTTCTATAACGAACTCTGAACGCAAAAATTTTGAAATTTCATAATAGTTCGGTATAAAAAGTGACATGGGTTCTTAAGAAAACATAGTAATTTCCCTATAATGAACTTTTTTTCTTCCAGAATCTTCAGTTCGTTATAGAAAGAGTTGACTGTATTAAATTTTTTTTTTTGGTTTGTTTCATTTTAATTCTTTTTAGCATGTGCTAATATTTTTTGTATCTAGCTTAGGTGAAATATAGAATTGCATTAAGATTTGGAAACTGGGCCATTTTTTCTTTTTTTTGCTTAATTACTGCGACTTATATTTTATAACATAAAGATATAGCTATGATGTATAATTTCGTGTTGGAATGAACAATGTTGAGTCGAATTAAAATTTGCATTACATTAAAACAACTATAATGCCATAATACCTACTTACTCTTACCCTAACATACCGCGTGTTTCAAAAGTTTCCTAATTTTTTTATGAGATTACGTTATTGGACCAGTAGTAGAACTTTTGAAACACCCGATATAGGGTTTTACTCTATGTTAATTATGTATTTCAATAAAATAAGTTTACGCATTTACAAAAAATAAATCTTAAGAATTATTTAAATTTTTAATAAATTTTGATTTTTCTTCTGGGCTCCTTCATCCTCTATTTTTCCAGTATGCATTTCGGGTTCTTTCTATTAGTTCACTGACAATTGAACGTCTATTTTCACGCCTTTTTCAGGAGTCGTTTAAAGCCTAACACCTCCCCGTGATACAGGAAATCATGGGAGATATGGTGATCCTGATTTTTTTTTCAGTATTTAGTAGAATCTATAGCAATTTTTTTTCTTTTTTTTAAAGGAATCTCTTTTTTTTTTTTTAAAGGAATCTCTTCTCCTTTTTTTTTTTTAAAGGAATCTCTTCTCCTTTTTTTTTTTTTAAAGGAATCTCTTCTCTCCTTTTTTTTTTTTAAAGGAATCTCTTCTCTCCTTTTTTTTTTTTTTAATCTTTTTTTTTTTTCCTCCCAAATACTCATTCTTTGCAGTTGTGTCAGTTACGTACAAACAATAAAAAGTTATTTTTACTACATATTATTACTGAATCATAATATATTGTTGAAAGCACTTTCAAAAATACTACTGCCGTGTTATTATTGTTTAGTGAGCAGAGCACATTCATTGTATTGTAGTTCTGTAGTTAGATTGCAAGCGAATTATTATTTCGCGGCTTCTTTTTTTTTTTATATAATATAGTTTTTTTTTTTTTTTTTTTTTTTTTTTTTTTATTTTGTTTTTTTTTTTGTTTTAATATGGCTGGTAACTTTGTTGAAAGAGAAGGCAATGTGTTTGAGGAAATTGAAGTTGACGAAGATGAAGTTTTAGTGGGAAACGAAAAGACTGTGTTGGAGGAAAATGATGTGATTGTGTTGGATGATAGTGAAGAAGAAAATAAAGAGGTACAAGCAATATCTGTAGCAGATGAAGCACCCACAGCATATAAAGGGATCAAAGTTTACACGTTGCAATCTACAACTCCTAATCAAAGGCGAGCGCTTCTCTTCAATGTTGGTGAACCATTTGAAGTATCAATGAATGAATTCGATAGTGAATGGTGGCCGCTCGTTACAAATGTGTGGACAAGGTTCAGT